TATTTCATTCAACCATTGTGTCCCTAGCATCTAGCACCAGCAGGCCCCCCCATAAAGATTGGTGGAGAACATAAGTACCTGAGTGAAGCAGAGAAGAAACTGTGCCTTCTACTTCTTGAAGCCACTTTCTTCCCTGGCTTCCTAGTTCTTTTTCATTTTTCTTGCTGATTGTCATCTACTTCCTGTTTTTGTTTTTTCATTCACTGGCCCTTCTTCCTCAACCCACTTCTGATATAGCAAGATGGCCCTGCAGCCTGCCCTCAGCCCTCTTCCCACCACACTCCTCCCTGGTGACCTCAATGCATGTGGCTTCCACTTTCTCCCATCTGCAGAGGGCTTCCAAGCCCACATCTTCAACTCCCACCTTTCACACGAGTTCCAGCCCTATCTTGCATCTGCTTTTGGTAAAGCGTCTGGGGGAGAGCTAGATTCTAATGCTTGAGGCTGCAGGAATGGGTATAGGTCCCTGTTCAACCACGGTCTCTTCAAAATACTTCATTTTGTTTTTCTGCATTGGTAAACTCGGGTTGATGATGGCATTCAATTTGTAAGGTTGTTTTGAGGATTTGATGAAACAGTGTATATAAAGCTTTGTGTGCAGTGCCTGGCTGGCATAGAGTAAGTGCTCAATAATTGTTAGATACTATTACTAGACATTTCCATCTGAGGGTCTTATGGCCTCCTGAACTATCCAAACCCAAATGTAGTCTCAGCCCTCTCCTACCTCTGTCTGTTTCTAAACCTCCTGACCTCCAAGGTAATGCTGGAATCAGAGGGACCTTGACTGACCCAGGTGTATCGTGGGCCTGGGAAAGCCCTTTAGCAGACCTTTGTTATGTCCATAGCCTTCCGTATCTCTTGGCCAGATGGTTACATCTGCCTACCTCTCCTCCAGACTTGCTCTCTAACACAAACTCTGTGTGGTCTGTTCCTGCAGAAGTACTTTTGTAAAATGCCAAGCAAAGCCGGTCTTTCCCCATCACCCTTCCACGCTTGCCTCAGAGATCTTCCAAGGACAGGACAAAGCCCAGAACCCTTCATGTGGCAAGTCATGGCTTTCAGATTGGTCTTTGGACCCTGAACTCACTTTTCCCTAGTGTTTCTGCTTCTTATCTTTGATACTTGCTGTTTCTCCTTTTTGAAGTGCCCTTTCCTCTTCCCCCGACCCCTCGCAGAGCTTGTTGTGTCTGCAGTTCACTGTCCACACAAAGCCCTAACCTACTCTAATGGTTATTTACTCCCTGCGTGCTTCTCATTCTCCATCCCGCTTCCAAAGCTGGTGAACTCTTCTTTTTCTTTTTTAAATGTAACTTTATCACTGCAACTGCCAATCCTGGGACTTAACATGTAATAGGAACTCAATGATTTATGAGTGAATGAACCTGGAGGGACTAGGCTTTTTTTTTTTTTTTTTAGGGACTAGGCTTTTTTTTTTTGAGTTCCAAAAAGTTCATGTCTTTGTTCTATTTATCTTAGTAGAATAATGTGACCTTCTTATGGCTTGAATATCCTGTGCAGGGCTTTGTGTAAGAAGCTGAGGCATATTGTGACAGGTCTTTGGGAACAGGAGAATTGTGACATAGTATATTGTGTTCTGTGATTTAAGTTGTGTATGCAAACACATTTGACAAACATTCCTCTGGGTGCCCATTATGCACAGGCCCTGGGCAAAGCAGTAAGAGCAGATCATAATGACACTACAATCCTCCTTCTAATTTAACTGAGTCTTTCCTTTATGCTAAGCTCTGTGCCTAAGTTAACTGGAGGGATTAACCATCTCCAAAATATCAGGAAATGGAGGCTTCTATCTAAAGGAATTGAGCTAATGAAAGGAATCCAGATTTGAACCAAACCCTGCCCTGTCCCTAAATTCCTGGCACCTTGCCTTGCTGCAAACCACCTCATAGCTTCTGATTATTGAACACCTCCTGACTCTGAGGAGCTAGGCATGTGTTGATTCCATTTAGTTCTTCTAACACTCAGCAAGGCCTTATTGTCCCCATGTGGAAGAGAGAAAATGGGCTCAGAGGATCACAGAGAACTGTGGCAGGTGGCAGAGCTGCGATTCTTGGGGTCTCCTTTGACTCCTCAGCTCATTCTCTATCCTCTTTGCAAATGGCATGATCTAGCCAGAGGGCAAGAGTCTTGTAAGCAGGCCACTGAAGTTCAGTGTCATTGTGAGGCATACCACAGCCTAGGCCTGGCGCAGTGAGGAAGAACTGACAGAGCTGCACAGGTTGTGGGGTGCAGAATCCTGATCAGGTCAATAATGTGTCGTTAAATCGTTCCTTCATCAGCATTTGGGCCTTCAATTTTCAGGATACTAGTAACAATAGATGCAGACACAGAAAGAAAGGCAGGCTCATTTTTAGGAAGAACTCAGTCTGTTAGAGAGGAGAGGATGGAAGGACAAGATGAAGAGAAGGAATGACAACAGGAGGAAATAGGCTGCGACAAAGCTAGTTGCCAGGCACAGAAATTAACCCAGAAGCCCCTCAGTTACCATCCCATCCCATGCCCATTCCTCACCAGTCCCATGAGGCCTTCCAGGGTCAGCCCTGCCAACCTCTCTGACCGATTCTTTTGCCACACTCACCTACTCATAGTCCTCCAGGTTGTCTATGTGTTCCTGCCTCAGGGCCTTTGGCCTTGCTGTGCCCATCGCCTGGCATGCTCTTTCCCTTTTGCTTCACATCCGTGAATCAGCCAGGTTTCAGCTCAAGTGTCCCCTCCTCACAGAGCTCTTCCCTGGTTGTCTTCCCCATTTACTCTTTGTCACACCAGCCATTTCTTGCCAAAGACTAGTTAAAACAAAAATGTCAGTGTAAGTTGGTAGTTAGGAGCATGCGCTCTGGAACCAGGGTTCCGCTCTCAGCTCTGACAGCTCATAGCAGGAGAGCCTCGGGCAAGCTTCTTAACCTCTCTGTGCCTCAGTGTTCTCATCTGAAAATTGGAATGATAATAATAGCATAAGGTATGATTGCGGGGATTAACTGAGATTCGATGAGTAAAGCACTAGTAGTGCCTGGTCTGTGGGGGTGTGTATGAAAATCAAAGAGTGAGTGAGTCATCTAATTTTCACTCATCCATCCAATGCATGCCGAGTTTGAATATATAGACAGGACAGAATGGAGGACTGAGCATACAGGGACAGACAAGTAGTCTCTGTCCTATAGGGGGCTTCTGCATGTCAGACCATTTCCCTTGTTGGTACAGATAATGAATTTTATTGGTAAACTTCTGCCTAGAGCTACCATTTATCTTCATTCTGGTTACATCCTCCATCTGCTTTGCTTCCTGTTCTGGGACTTGTGGTGCCAATACTGGATCATGACCTGAGTGACACATAAATATATACAGTTTTACACCCACATGATTTATTTATTGCTTATAATTTTACTTCTTCTTTTTAGTAGTATGTTCAATTAGATGTTTGGCTAATGGTGAAAGGTCAACTCTCACAAAAGAATGACCAAAGCAGAATAATAGCTAAAAGGCTCTCATCCCCCCTCCCCGTCTTCTGTTTTCATTGCTTCGAAGGTTCCATATATACTGGACCTACTACCTCTTCTCCAAGTCTGCCTCATTTCTTCTTGGGCTGGTTTTCACTTCCTCTCAGAAGCCTTCCCTGATTTTCTGAGATGGTGGGCTCCGTAGACCTCGCACTCACTGTGTAGTAAGACTTACTGTTCCACTGCAGGGGAGCTAGGGGAGCTATCTACTTGCCCTCTGGTCAACCTGTGCATCTTTTTGTCTTATTCTTCATTGTATCTTCAATGTAGACACTTTTTTTTTTTTTGCTGTTAAGAATTAGTGTTCTCACCATTTGACCCAGTTATCCCACTCCTCAGTATATACCCAAAGGACTTAAAATCAGCATACTATAGTGATGCAGCCACATCAATGTTTATAGCAGCTCAATTCACAATAGCTAAGCTATGGAACCCACATAGGTGCCCTTCAATGGGGGAATGGATAAAGAAAATGGAATATTACTCGGCCATAAAGAAGAATGAAATTATGGCATTTGCCAACAAAAGGATAGACCTGGAGGCTACCTTGCTAAGTGAAATAAGTTAATCTCCCCCCAAACCAAAGGCTGAATGTTCTCTCTGATGCTAACACACAATAAGGGTAGGAGAGAAAAGATAGAAGTACTTTGGATTAGACAAAGGGGGATGAAGGGAGGGGAGGGGATTTGGGAATAGGGAAGACAGTGGAACGAATCAGACATAACTTTCCTATGTTCATATATGAATACATTTCCAGTGAAACTCCAATCAGGTATCATACATACATGGAGTATAATTCCACAAGAATGGGAATTATACTCCATGTATGTATGATATGCCAAAATATACTGTACTCCCATGTACATATAAAAAGAACAAATTAAAAAAAGGTTAATTATAAAGTAAGAATTCGTGTTCTCTTTGCAGGTATAATAAAAATTGAATTTACGTATAGGACAAGAGCCATTAAAGCAGATAAACTAGCAATTTGCACTGTGCTACAGAAAGCATGTTCATTTTATAAGGGGACTTTTTGCAGAATCCACTGAGTAGGATGATGCTATAAAAACAACCTCAAATCTTAGTGGTTTCACACACACACAAAACGACTTTCTTGATTATGTAGTAGTTTGGTGCAAGTGCTCAGTCAGAAGCCTTACAAATCTTGAGAATCCACCATCCCTGATGCCCTTGGGTTCTCTGCTGGCCCTTTTCTGCATTTGACTGGCCAATGGGAATGAGAGAAGAAGATTGCTCAGGAGGTTTTCTTCTTGGCCATGCCTGACCATGGCACACATCACTTTCCAGACCACTAATTGAACTCAGTCTCAGGGCCACACACACTCCTGGGACTCTGGGGCAAATGGTCCCACTGTGTGTCCAGGGGGGGAAAGGGGAACAGGTTTTGGTGCCTGCCCAGCAGTGTCTGTCTGCAGCGGGTTCCAGAGTAAAGGAATCACACTGATTACTGCTGTTTTGACTTTACAGACAAACACATGTGATCAGAATCTAAATTACTGCCTTGAAATCATTGAACAAGTTGCCAGAGTGCAGGGACAGCTCTTTGGAATCCTCACTATTGCAGCCCAAGAAGGTGAGAATGGCCCCCACTTTTCCCTTCCCACTCTCTCTTCTAGTCTCTTTCCATTGTTGGTGTTTGCTGACTGAACTGGTGTGCACTTCGCTTTCTGTCTCTGACCTTGTGCATGTTTTCTTAGGAGGACATAATGATGGTGTGGAAACAATCAAGTCTCGCCTTTTGCCTTGGCTGGAGGCTTCTTTTACTGCTGCTTCCATGGGAAAACCTGTTGACAGCAGGGTTCCCTCTCTACAGGTAGGAATGCTAAAGAATGACCCTTGACTTCCTGAAACAATGCAATAAAACTGAAATTTCTGAGATAATGAGAAAACTTAGCAAAGAGTGTCATAATTTGGGATTACTGGTTTCCATGGGAGAGTGTCAATTCCAACAGCTGGAGACCAGACTAGAATAGAATATGGGCCTTGTTTCATGCATCAATATCATTATGTCTGGGTAAATACAACATCAGTATATGAGTTTGCTTTCCAGGACCACAACAAAATACCTGAGATTGGATAAAATATAAATAAAAGAGTTTGATTTAGCTCCTAAGTTCTGAAGGCTGAAAGTCCAAATAGCACAATGCTGACTCTAGAGGGACCTCCTAGGGGACATATGGCAGGAACATATGTGGGAAACAGAGATCAAATAGAGACAGGAATTCAACATGTGAAGAAGGTCAGGATTGCTCTTTTATAGCAACCATTTCCAAGAACTACATCAGTTCCTTCCGAGGACAGTGCTCTCAATTACCTAAAAGCCATTTAAGGTTCCACATCCCCTCTAACCTTGCCATACTGGGGACCAGCCTTCCAACACATGCACCCTTGGAGGACACACTCAAACCATATTCAAACCACAGTGATCACCAGCTTTACTTTTAAATGTTTAAATGGATAAACATGAATCCCTTTCTAAAACTGAAGCATTTAGAGCAGACTGTTTTAATGCAGGGGTCTTAACTAGACAGAATTCCTGCTTGGAGATCTAGGGCCAGGAAATCTGTCCTGCTCCTATGGCCCTTGGTAGGGTCTGAACATTTATGTCTCAGTTTCCTTATTTAACTGAATTAGGACAATGATTTTACTGACCTAATAATGGGGTCATTGTGAGAATGAAATGCAATAAACATGAAAAACCCTTGCAGAGGTGTGGTGTGTGGTTAAGACTTTAATAGCTATCAGTTGTCATCAGTAATTTTTCTCCCTGAGGATTTTTAAATGCTTCTCAAATTTTTACTCCCTGTGGGTATTACATCCGGTTGTACAGACATCGGATGATGCTTTAAAAGTATTTATTTATCTATTTTTTGTAAATCAAAGTGTAATTTATGTACAGTGAAATCCCAGGTCAGTGAGTTTTGACAAATCCCTTACTAAGAGATGAAGCATTTCCATCACTCCAGAGAGTTTCTTGTGCCACTCCAGGGCAACCACTCTTCTGGTTTCTATGACTCCAGATCAGTTTTGTGTGCTCTAGAACTTGATGCAAATGGAAGCACACATTATGTGTTCTTCTGTGTCTTGACTTTTTTTTTTTTTTGCTCAGCGCCGTGTTTTGCAATCCATGTCATTTTGTGTATTCAGACTAATTTTTATTTTTTTTGTTATCTTTTCAGGACACATTTGAAAGGGAGAGACTTAAAGGGAGTAGTCCTCGGGACCTTAAAGCAAGTAGTCCTCGGGACCTTAAAGCGAGTAGTCCTGGGGACCTACAACAACTAGACTCTGACTTGAACTCAACCCATAATCAACTCAACCAGGTTAAAGACGAGTAAGAGGAATGCAAGTTATCTTTCTTCAAAAAGAATTGTTTTCAATTTAACTGTTTAAATTTGAAGGAGAATAATGGCTCATGTGAAATGTGGGCATTTGTAAATAAGTAACATGATTTGCGTGTGTGTGGGCATTTGTAAATAAGTAACATGATTTGTGCAAGTTGGGAGTCAATGTCTGAGTTTGGGGACAAGATACCAATCTGGTCTGTGATCTCTGGTCCCTTGCCTCCATCTGCTGAGCTATTCCTCCTCTGCAGGTCCAGCATCAGCTCAGAGTTATAAATAAGTAAAGATTGTAGATGAAAATCTATCCTTGGGAGGAAAGATTTTTTTGAAAAAGATATAGAAGGGGAAGAGTTAAAGACGATGAAAGATCAGCTAATGAGGAAAAAGAAGAGAATAAAAGACAAAGCAGCTATACTAATGTTCTTTTCAGGGCCTATTGATGCCTGATGGAGAGAGTTAGAGTTTAAAAAATAATATTTTGAAATAATTCTTAGGTATAATAATATATTTTAAAAAGTTAATGGTAGGCAACAACAGATGTCAGAGGCAGGCTCTGGGCAGTCAGGGTAGCAAGCACAGGGAATCACTGCAAAGAAAATTGCAAGTTTGGATTTATTCTTGAGGAAGATAGACAAATATGCATGAAATTGCCTTTGACAGAACTTAACAAAAGTCTGTTAATAAGGTCTTTCCACTCCCACAGTATCACTCCATTGCTTCTGGGAAGGGAAAGGAAGTCTGTTTTAACCAATTAAGTCTGTGATGATATAGTTGTAGCCCTCTGCGTTGTTCTCATGAGATGTCCTGTCTTCTCTCCCAAATGAAGATATCCCTATTGATGTAGTTTTACTTGATTATAAAAGTAGTACTAATTTCCTCATCAAATGTATACAAGTACCAAAAATGTTACCTCACCTCGGTCAACATGTTGGTATATTTGGCTCCAGACATTTTTCTACGTACTTATGCCTCTACATGCACCTGTGCAATTTTCCACTTGGAATCATAGTCAGCGAGCAGGAGTACAACTGCAGAAGTCAAATTGTACAGCTGTAACATGCAGGGAACATGATTTCTCTGACTCTCTATTTATTTCAACCCATGTCAGCTGATCTTTATATTTGCCTCATCTAGGTCTTTCCTGGTTAAGTGTAGTCACTTTTGTGAAAACTTCAGTTAATAGTGAGAACTTCTATTCAGAGGTAGTTTTGCCCTGGCATGGAGCTTCCTTTCCCCTTATCCTTCCTTAGATTGGCATCTAGGGAAAGGATGCTACAGATAAGATGTTTTGCTCATGTACTGTATTCTCAGCCTTAGTGGACTTGGCACTAGTGTCTTGTGCTGAGGGGTCCTGAGTTGTGCTTTGTCTGCTTAGGTTTCCAGGAATAAGAGCCCCTCTAGATGCTTCTAGTTGTGAAGCAGGACTTCAATACTTTGCTGGTTCTTTTTTATTTTTGGTACTGGGATTGAACCCAGGGGTGATTAACCGCTGAGCTATCCTCAGTCCTTTTGTCATATTTTATTTAGAGATAGGGTCTCACTGAGTTGCTTATGGTCTCGCTAAATTGCTGGCTTTGTGTGATCTATTTGCCTTAGCCTCCTGAGCCGCTGGGATTTCAGGTGTGGACCACTGAGCTCAACCCACCTGTAGTTCTTATTCTGTGTTTTTATTTAAGGTAACCCAAATGTAAGTCTGTTCCCCAAATTCTATGGTAAGCAGCTCCCTCTTCCCTTTCTGATTCTGGCTTCCTTTTCTTCAGTTCCTCAGATGGCCCTTTGCAAGCAGTGTGTCCCAGAGCTGTCTTCTCAAACAGAAGTCTTTGCTGGGTGGGGTCTTACTAACTCCTGAGATGCCCTCAAGCCATCTTTCCTATTGTCCTGATGCAAAATACTTGGTGGCTTCTGTTTCTCCAGCTCCTCCTCCTCCTCCTCCTCCTACTCCTCCTCTTCCTTCTTATTCTGAGATGGGGGTCTCTCTGTATTGCCCAGGATAGCCTCACTTATTATTCTCCTGCCTCAGAATCCCAAGTAGCTGGGATTACAAGGATGGGCTACTGCACCCAGATTCTTTTCTTAATGGCATTAATCTCTTTAGTACTCTTCTTGGATGCAACTTTAAATGTGCTTTATTTTGGGACAAACTCCAAGTTTTATATCTTTCCACACTGATTTTTGCTTTTGATTCTCACTGTGAATCTGGCTAAAAGCAGCCAGCAACACCCCTACCATTGCCTATATGCTGTGTTGCCTTGAAATTTCCTGTACCACATTAATTAATCCATCACCTTTAAACTCAACTTCCCATAAAGTCTCAGCATGAGCAAAGTGTAGACAAATTCTTTGCCAGAACTGAAACACCCTAGAGTCCTCATTTCCATCTGAAACTTCATGAGCATAGTCTTTACTCTTCACATTCCTATCAGCATTGTTGTTTTGAGCTTCCACCAGAATCATTCATGAAGTTCTCTTTATGGCATTCTAAGCTTTTTCCAGTCTGCTTCTCCAAATTGATCCAAACTCCTCCTGCAAACGAATTCCAAAGGCTCCTGAACCACACGGTCATGTATAATCATAGCGACCGCCACACTTCTCAGTAGCAATTTTCCATTTTAGTCAGATTTCCATCTCTCTGACAAAATATCTGATGTAAACAACTTAAAGGAGGAAAGATTTATTTTGGTTCATGGTTTCAATCCTTGGCCACTTTGCCCCCTGTCCTTTTGGACTTGTGGTGAGGCTGAATATCATGGCAAGGAACATGGGAAGCAGAGCTGCTCACATTATGGCAGTCAGGAAGCAAAAAAAGAGAGAGAGGGAGAAAAGGGATCAGGGTCCATCTTTAAAGACACTGCTCCAATGACGTGTTTCCTCCAACTAGGCCCAACTTCTCAATAGTGCCATCATCTGGGGACCAAGACTTCAACACACAAGCTTTGGCAGGGGGGACACTTAAGATCCAAACCACAGCAGAATCCCAGGTCTCATTTCCCACTCTTCTTTCACCTGTGTTTTCTTAGCCTCCGGATTACTGTGATGAAAGAGTTTGCCTGTTCCAGGGAGGCAGATCAGAGAAGTCTGGGACCCATGATTATCTCATGGTTCCCAGGGCAACTTCACTGAGAACCACTGATCTTTGTCCATGGTCATCCATCCCACTTCCACTTATTTTTAAATTTAGATAGGCCTAAAAAAAGAGAGTATATTATTATGATTTGCTTACAGTGAAGAGAATCCTTGAAACTAACAACAAAAACTCAGGAAAATTGTGCACAATAAGTGGCAGACATCAGAAGCAGAAAGACCTGAAATACTTGTAGACTGATGTGATTGTGGAGGACTTTCGTAGTGGGCAATAAGCTTTTTATATTATGAAGTTTGGGAAAAATAAGGCAAGTGCAGCTCTACAGTGCAAAGTAATAGGAATAGGTATTGGTATATTGGAGAAAAATGGAGATTTTGTAGAGAGACAACCTGGGGATTGGGTATAAATAGAGTAGAAGAATTAGGAAGAGGCGAAGGAGGAATTGAATGAGTTCCTTCATCCTTTACATTTTAACATTAATAGTTATCACACAGTCTTTAAAGTAGCTCTGACCTTCCTTTGTGTTTGACCTTGAGCTAAGGGTGCTGGCATGTTTTTGTGTCCATGTCCACCATAATATCTGCAATATTATCTGATTGAGTGCAGATGTCTTATAATTTGATTTTTGTTTTCATTGAATTTATATCATATGACAAAGGTCTCCAAGAGAACCTAGGCCTTGATTTGGAAAGTCTGCTGATTTTAGAAAATCTGTCTTTAGTTACTGATTTCTCTTACAGTCTTGCTGAAACTGGAAAGTCTCTCGAAGAAACCAAGAACAGATCTGCCATATCCCTTTTGGCTGCAGAGGAGGAAATAAATCAGCTAAAAAAGCAGTAAGAAAAATGATAGGATTATTGCAGCCTGCCAATTAATCATTGACTCAAGTTTTTTTTGATGCTCTGTTACAGTATGAAAAAATAGTATTCATAATTAGAGAGAAAAGGCAGCAACATTTTTAGTAATGTTTGATATATTTTTCTTATTACAAAAATGTTACCTAAGGCTTGGGATATGTAGCTCAGTGGTAGAGTGCTCACTTAGGATGCTTGTGGTCCTGGGTTCAATCCCAATACCACAAAAAGAAAACAAAAATATTATTTACGTGATATAGACTAAAGTCTCTGAAGCACAACATAATATGAAGACATCTAAAAACCTTCTCATAATCCTAGTGCCAGTAACTGTCCATTTGGTGTTCCTTCTGATTAACAGTGCAGAATACAGAATAAAGTATATAAGTATATATTTTTGATCCCATTGTTTTCCTCTATCACCATGAAAAAATAATTGCAGAACTTAGTTTCAAATACGTTCATCATTTCCATCATTTGGATATTTCCTTCATGTTGAATATTAACTTAGATGCGGATTTTCAACATTGGAAAACAACACTGGGATAATTTTGTGGAAAATCTGAGCTTAAATTTCATATTATTACCTAAAGATCAATTTCTAGAAGGGAACAAATCAGCATGTGGATCCTTTAAGGTTATATGTTTCTTGGTGTTAGTTTTGATTTCCAAGTGGGAAGTGTATTTTACTCACTTATACTCACAGACACATACTCAAACTCACACTTTCTGATGGTTTTCACATTCTAGTTGTTATCCTTTCTTCAGGAACACACATACCTCTTAGCTTAGAAGCTGTTCTGTTTTCCACTTCTAGCTTCTCCCTCATCATCATTTTAAACTCTTATTTCCTATTTGGTACATGTTCGCAAGTTCATTGATCATATTGCTCATTGGTCTCCATAGTTCTGAATCTGTTGTCTGCTGTTTCTGGTGTAGCTTTTAACCCTATTACCTTTTTTCACTTCTCTTCATACTTCTGAATCTTAATTCTCACCTTCTCATCTTGCACTATTGTCATGATCATCACAGCATGTTCTTCTATGGCTTTTGCTTCTGTTTTGTGGAAGCCACATCTCTTTGGATCTTCAGGAGGGTGCCAGTTTTATTTCTAAAGATTTTTTGTTGGTTTGTTTCTGTACTCCATTATTTTCATAGTTTTGTACTTCTAGATAGTCTTTTGAATACCATTCAATTTCCATTGAAGTCCACCCCTCCAACTCTTTTTTTTTTTTTTTTTTTGAGGTACTGGGGAGTGAACCCAGAGCCTCATGTTTGCTAGGCAAGTGCTCTACCACTGAGCAACACCTTCAGCCCTGGACTAGGATTTGAAGGTCAGGTGTTTCCAGAATTTCATAGAATGGAGACCAGTGTGGAACAGCATGAGTATAGGTCCACTCTACTTCTCTTAGAGGCCCTGCATGAGCATTCTTTCTTTAGGGACCTTTTCCCATGCAAGCTGCAGATGGGGACTAACCCCCAGATACTGGCAATTCTGCTCTTTGCTCATATGTGTTTGTTCATGTGTATTTCCATCTCACCTTTCCAATGCAAAATGGCAGGCTGATGTTAGGTATACCAGTTGTTGCTTATTGCCCTCCCTCCCTCTCTCTCTCTCTCTCCCTTCTTTCTCTTCATTTCCTTTTCCCTTTCCTTCCTTTCCTCTGTTTAATCTTTTCCCTTCCCTCCCCACCCTGTTCTCTCTGCTCTTCAGGCTTAAATCTCTTCAAGCCCAGGAGGATGCTCGCCATAGGAACTCAGAACCTAGGCGTACAGACCAGAGCAGAGAACAGAGCAGAGACCAGATCAGACCTGAGCCCCACAGTTCCTTCAAGAGGGGCTCAGAGAGAAGGAGCTCTGATCAGAGGAACTCGGAGCCACGCTCTGATCAGAGGAACTCGGAGCCACGGACCTTAGAGCAGCGGTGCGCAGAGCAGCGGAACGCAGAGGTAATCTCTGACTATGAGAAACAGCTCCGAAACCTGAAGGATGAGATTGCTGTCTTGTCTGCTGAAAAAGCTGGTCTTCAAGGAAGGTCTGACAAATTCTCATTGATCTTTTCATTTGGCTTTTTTTTTTCTTTTTTCTCTGAGCTAGTAGTAAAAGTCTGAAGTTGATGGAGTTGGGGACTACAATGACCCTGTAAACCAAAACTGCAACAATATTTTCTTTATCCATCTGTTGAAGGGCATGGTATTTTTTTTCCTATGTCACATGATGGGTGGTGTGTATAGGTTAAGTATTATGAAATCCTTTTCCACTGAAGGGCAGGTGTGTTGAGGTGGGTCATTAAGACAGTGTGAGATGAAGACACAGAAGCATGTTGATTTTGGGAGTCTCCTCTCACTTTTAGTTTTTTTCTACCCCCTCTGCTCCAGGCTCCCAGCATGCTCTAATTCAGGCTATTGAAACATCATCCTTGCCTGTACCCATTTCCCTAAATGACACCTGAGTCATTTTTGGGACTCCCTCTGTGCTGTCCTGGTGCTGATGTGTACTTGCTCCCTGGAACCTGTTCCTTTCTGCCATGGTAGGGGCATCTTCACCCTGGAAATTAGCAAACATAAGGCCTTCTCCACCCCTTCCGATAGCCTGCCAGTCAGCACTGACAGCATTGTACAGTTTCTCATGTAAAACGTCCCTTTTCTGGGGCCATGTCCTCTGGATTAGCTGGTTGATAACTTCACTTCCTATTGGGTAGCAATCCAGATTGTCCCACAAGGCTTGAGCGATGTGCTCCTGTGGTGTGTTAGTATTCCAGGGTCAGAGTCAGAAACACCAACTTCTGACTTCTCCTCTTGAACTCTGGCTCTTGCTAGCTGTGTTCCTTGAGGATGGTCCTTTAATTTTTTAAAGCTTCAAGTTCCTTATGTGTAAAATGGCCAAGAAGCAGAGCTGGCCTCTCAGGGTTGTTTCAAGGATAGACATGCCACACTAAGGGGAGTGCTTTATAAATCCCAACTCTCTAGGCAGATATGGAATATTTCTTCCAGTAATTTCTTACTTGGGGTGGCCTTTGAGACTGGGGGGAAGGTCATTCCAGACAGCCACTTGACCTCCCTCGGAGGGTTGGGTGTGTCATTTGTAGTTGATGTGGGGAGAAGAACCAGGAACAAGCAGAGGCCAGGGACTCAGCGTGTCCCAGCCTGATTCCTCCTCCTCCGCAGGGCACCCAGGAGCCGGTCTCCTAGCCCTGGCCCACGCAGCGGCAGCCACAGCCACCGCCGTAGCCGTAGCCACAGCCGCAGCCAGAGCCACAGCCGCAGCCACAGCCTCAGCCGGAGCAGGTCCAACAGCCCCAACAACAAAATCGCCAAGATCAGAAGCACGTCCCCAAATGGTGGTTCCAAAATGTCCAGTGTGGCACGCAAAGCTGCTCTCCTGTCCCGATTCAGCGACGCCTATTCCCAGGCCCGCCTGGATGCCCAGTGCTTGCTGCGGCGCTGCATCGACAAAGCAGAGACAGTGCAGCGGATCATCTACATCGCCACTGTGGTAGGTGACACTCTGGTGGCCAGACTTGAGCTGTCCTGGGGGCAGTGGGGAGACATTTGGATAAAGTGAATGGTACAACTTTAAAGGGACTTGTGCATCTTGACGTCACTGAATGGGGGCATTCTGGTCTCCCCTTCTGTCCCTTCCCTCTCCTTCACTCCTTCCTTTCACCCTCACTTCCTCCCTCTCTCCCTCCCTTCTTTCATTACAAATATTCGGGGGTGAATTGCTTTTTACGACAATAACTGTTCATATGCATTTATTAGTATTGACCGATTTGTTGAAGAAGTGTCCATAAATGTAGCACTCTTTTCAATGGGTATATACTAAGTTGATTAGCACTGTAAATCAACTTTGTCTAATATGATCCTACGAGCACACACACACACACTATATATATAATCAATCACTGCAAATGACTGTTGCTTGATTCATTTACTTCAGGTCTAAACATCAGAAGTTGCAATTGTGTCAACTCTTCATTTATTTAATGAAGAGTAGTTAATGAAACTGCTAATACACCAGCTTGCTTGAGTAGGGCAAATTAAAAACCTACAGTCCTTAGTTTCCAAAGTAAATACATTTGTTCAATTGGTTGTTCAATGCCATACTGAGATACTAAGGGTCTATTATGAGAATAATTAGATATAAAAAAGAAAATGTTGCTATGACAGCAGAATTGTCCAGAATCCTGTGTCTATTCATTTATTTCAGAGGTCAGTACACTATGGCCTATGGACTATACCTGGGCCTGGCTTGTATTTCTATGAGAAATACTGCCCCAAAACTAAGAATGTAAGAATGATTTTTACATTTTTAAAGAATTGTAAGGGAAAAAAATGTGAGAGATTGTAGGTAGTTTGAAAAACCTAAAAGATTTGGCTCCTCATACAAAAATTTTTTGCCAACCCTGGTTTTTATAATTAAGAATCACTGAGTTGGTTATAGCTGTGCAAACATAGAGGCTGGGTCTCTTTTTTGTAACTGAGTTTTCCCGGGGCCTATTATATAAAAGGTATTTAGAAAGATTTATTGAATTAATATGTAACAGGAAATATGCATGACAATGTGCTTATGTAGGGAATGAACTCTAGACTGATAGTTTTCTCTCATTCTCGGCCAGTGATATGCTATTGTAGTGGGCTCATGGTAGAGGACCTCTGTCCTTAAATCTGTACTATCCTGCTTCACTGCACTCAGAAAGACCAGAATAGTGGCTAATGCTTGCAATTAGTGAATGTGGGCTGTTATGTATCTACTTGCATGCTTTTCAAAATTGAGAGATGTTATTTTCTATCATATTAAAAACATTTCGACCAACTGTGTTCAGTTATCTGAAGTCTAATATGATGTGGACTTTGTTATTCTTTTGAATTCATTTCTTTGAACTTATTTACCCTCCTCCTCTTATTAGATAATAAATGTGCTGTGTTTTCACATGCAGGAGGCATTTCACGTGGCGAAAATGGCATTCAGACACTTCAAGATCCGGGTGAGGAAGACATTAACACCAAATTATGGAGGGTCGAATGACTTTGAGAATGCTGTCTCCGAATATATCATTTGCCATCTTGATCTGTATGATTCCGTTAGCAGTGTTAACGTAAGTGTTGGGTCTCTTGTTAGAACTGGCTTGTGGTTGATGACATTTGCAATGGAGATTCATAATTCAGGAACTCGTTAGCATTTGTATTGCTTCCAGTTAACAGAAGAAGGAACAGCATTCAGTTAGTCTTGTAGCACTAGTCACTTCTATTTTTTTCTTAGAAATTTTATGGAAAAAAATGTCCCAAGCTTCAGAGTTCTGTTCTTCAAGTGGGGCCCTAAGATTGGGAGATAGAATATCATAGTTCTTAAGAGGAAGGGATTTGGGAAGTAAGGATGGATTTGCATACTGACCCTGCCACTTGACTGCGCCATATGATGTTACATGTTTACATAACCTTTTGGGGCTTAGATTTTCTAACCTTTAAATGGAAACAACAATGATTATTACCCCACAGAGTCATTGAGAGGATTTAATGAAAGAAAGCAGATCGTTTGCTTAGCACAAGACTTTGCACATAGTAAACACTCAATAAAAGCAAGCTATTTTAATTATTCTTATGGATTAGGAACACGTCAGAGTTCTGTGTTGGCACCTTATACACTTACACAGCAAAGGAAAATAAGAAAATAATTTAAGAATCCATGGACCATTTTCCCTCTTAGTTTTGGGCCTTCAGCATGTCATTTGTGCTCTGTGTATCTTTCCTCCTTCCTTATCAAAGAGTGACAACATCCTTCTTTATGTAGCACCTATACTGTTTTTCTGGCTTATTTTCACTGAAACCCTCTTTTCCCATCTCCCATTGGTCCTAGCTGATGTTAGAGTCCTCAGGGTGTCCCAGTGTCTCGTCACAGGTTGGCCACCAGATAATGCCACTTTTTTTTTTTTTTTGGTTTTGTTTTTCAGGATGTGATCCGTGCCATGAATGTCAACCCCAAGATCTCGTTCCCCCCTGAAGTTGACTTTTGCCTTCTCAGTGACTTTATCCAGGAGATTTGCTGCATCGCCTTTGCCATGCAGTCCTTAGAGCCACCCCTTGACATTGCCTTTGGGGCGGATGGAGAAGTTTTTAATGACACCAAGTAAGAGACACAGGAGCAGAAGCTAAGGGATCCCCCTTAATAACTGCCTTGCTTCTGTTCCTGGGAACAGTGCCGGGGAGGGGATTCCAGTATATGTGTGTGTTGGTGGGGGGGCGAGTAGACCCTCTGCTCTCCAGGGCCTGCTGTGGACTTCTCTGTACTTCTGAGCAGGCCCTTCCTGGGTTCATTCTCCATTAAACAGACTGGGCTTTGGGGAGAACTAAGGGTACCTGGAACCTGTCTGGAACATTTTAAAAGAAAGGTGCTCTATAAATGCAAATGTGTATTATTTTTTATTGGCTTTTATTGAATTATTTAGGCTAAGTTCCTCAAAGTACAGTGTGCAGTGTGCAGATCACTCAAGGTGCTTGTGCAAAATGCACATTCCTGTGTCACATTCCATGATATGCTGTTTCATGCTGTCAGTCTGTGGTGGAGCTTAGGAAGCTGCAGTTTAAAAAGTACCCAGTGTGCTTTGTGCACACTAAAGTTTGAGAGGATGCACTGTATTCTTATCTAGAATCAGATTTCTAAATTTTACATGACAGATATTCTCTTTATAAATTAAAAGATATTAAATTAATTTTAAACATTTATCGAGATTTGATGAAATTTTAGCTATAACTGGAGATTAATCTGGGAAGAGGCCAAGAACACTGATTCTGTCTTGGGCTGCCTGGGTTCAAATCTCAGCTCCACTTCCTGTTAGCTGAGTAGTCCTAGGCATGCTACTCCGTTTTCCTGTTCCTTAATTTCTTCTCTGTCAAAGGGGGAAATAATGATGCCTACTCCCTAGGAATAGAAGGATAGCTGAGGTAACTGCTGGCATGCTCAGGAAATATCAGCTCTGGGTGTTGTTGGAGTCATGGAGTCGGGGGGAAGGGGCTACCCAGGACTCTTGAAAACATGTTGTTGAGGGAGACCATATACCTTTTGGGGGCTTAGGCAAATCACATCAGTGACTGGGCTTTCTGGTTGCCTTACAGCACAGCTTTTATCTGTTTCTAGTTTCTTTTAGGTCACTGATCCCAGCATGCCTCCACTTATGGAAGAACATGACATCACAGGTGGATCTTTCTGGTTCATTTACAGAGCATATATCATCATGGTCATCCACCTTCCTTTATTCCTCTCTCCTTTGGAGGACGGACAGTAACACTCAAACTTTCACCCATTTTAGTTTGTAGAATTTGCCCATTTCCCAGACCTGTCTGCCCTCCCAGTCACAGGCCTTTAACCAGAGGCACCTCCTGTCTTTCTTGCTGGATGGCTGTCCAGTTAAAATCGGGATTCTGAACAAAGATCGGCTTTGTTTCTACCTTCAGCTCTCTGCATCCGCCAGGGTCTCCATCTGCAGATTCAGCCAACCAGGGAATCATAGTTCATGCTCTGCTGAGTATTCATTTTAATGAAAGTGTCTGCAATTAAATATAGACGAGTTTGAACTACCAGTGGAGGGGGTTAACAAACTTACAGCCATTTTTCTTTTTTTTTCTCATATTTAGCCTTAAAATACTGTTCACACATTTTGAGGGCAACTAAAACCTGCTATTTTATTTCCTCTCATGTTGAGACTAAACCATGTTTCCTTTATTTGTTCAGTTAAATTCTCTTTAGACTCAATTGCAGGACCTCATATACATTAACCTTTAGTTTATCGTATTAGAGCCAACTTATTTTTGTGGCCTTCTTGATCTATTTTTGTATAATCATCATCTGTTTTTCATTTCCTATCCTCCCCACCTTTGAGCATGTTTCCGTTTGTACAAGTCGTTGGTAAACGTGTCGATGTATAGGATTAAAAGAGAACCTTTAATATCTTCAGTCAGGTTCTTGTTGATCCATTCATTACTCTTTGGATAGGATCATGGAACTAGTTTCTAGGCCACCTGCAGAAGTTAAACCATCCACCTGTATTTCTTTTACTTTGTCCACAGAGACAGCATGGAGAATCTTATAGGAAGCCTATGGGACTTCAGGTAGTCTCATTTCCCTGTCTTGCGAATCTTACAATCCTGGGCAGAGAAGGAATAAGATTAGTCTCCAGGACTTGCTCTAAGTGACTTCCTGGCAGGTCCTAGTTATCATTGGTTTCTATTTTAAGAGCCTGCAGCCATCTCTTTAATAACAGGATTGGGATCCATATTTACCTAGATCTAAGCATAATCAAAAAAGAAACATCACACGCAAGGTTTCCCCCGATGATGCTATATAATTGCTTAACTTCTTTTTTCTGTTCTTTTGTGTTTACTGTAGGTACCGCCGTAGCTATGACTCGGATTTCACCGCTCCCTTGGTCTATTACCACGTATGGCCTGCTCTCACGGAGAATGACTGTGTCATTATGAAGGGAGAAGCTGTCACCAGGAGAGGGGCTTTTGTACGGTGGCCTTGCATAATGACAGTTCATCCCCAGTGTTTGATTCACAAGTTCGAGAATATTTATAAACCCAAAGATTCTATAAAAGAAGTTGATGAAGAGTTGTTTGATAAGATTTCATAAAAAGGAGAAGAAGATGGCCTTAGAAAAGCAGATTGTTTTTATTTATTCTTCCATCATTCTGCATTATTCCCTGGCAGTAATTTCTTTATTGCTCTATTTATAAGATGGAACTAGTCAAATTTACCTCTTCTTAGAGGGATTATGATATTTTAAGGGAAAACCCTTGAAATCGTCTTATTGGAGGCTTTCTATAATCCTAAGCATTTGAAAGTGATTAATGAACTTTCAGGAAACAATTTGACAATTTTTTACTGATAAGTCTTCATTTTGGGAAACTATGTGCCATTTTTCTCTCCTTGGTATGACACGTAGAAAGGGGAGGGATGGAGAAAAAGAGGAGTCAGGGAAGAGGAACAGATCAGTTTTGGAAGATTGCTTTCTATATTCAGGGCTATACAAGTGCTAAACATATTAAATAATTTAACAGACTTCATAAGGGAATCCTGGGTGTCTAATTGTGTGAGCATGTGTGTGTTGTAGGAGGACCGGGTGCTGCAACTGGTGGCTACAGGTGCTGGTTGTACATAGTTCATGGGATACAGTGTTGAACCTGGCCTTATCTAAAAAGGGTTAATTCTAAAGGGAAACCCCTTGATCCAGAGCAAAACCATCATCTGGGTGGTCTCTGATTCGATTCTCTTTGAACTGGGCAATAGGGGAAGTGCCTGCCTCATGGCAGCATATAGTGAAGGGGAGGGGGTGTATTTTATTTTCAAAGTACTTAGGAAAATGGTTTGTGTAGCTTAAAAAATCCCATTGTGGTGGATTGTATCTTAATAAAATGTTTTGTGCTATGAGAGTGGAGCTCATCAAAACTGGGTTTTGTTGATCTGACAGCTACACATGCTCTACAATGATCTTATGAGAGCATAAGGTGTGCTTCCTGGCCTCCAATACTGCCTGTCTCTTAAACACTCCGCTGCACTGCAGTTTGGCAGGGAGAGAAAGGAAGCAGCCACTGTACTCATATTCTCCACCAGTTTCCTTTATCCATCTTCCTTCTCTCACATCAAGTATATCACCGACATTTGCCCAAGCTTAAACCTCAAAATCAAAAGATTTTGATTCCCCAAAAGGAAAAACTTGGAAAAGAAAAGGGTTGAGTTGAAAGAGAAATCTTAAGAAGGGATTTTACTTGTAAGATAAAATCGTTGAATTATTATTGAAACAATAAAAACAGCATATGTGTAATACATGCAATCAGATAAATTGGAGATACAGTTCTGGTCTTCATTCATTTACAATTAGAGAGTCAATGTGCAACAGTGGTGTTTCATTCAGTGATATTTATTCAAATCTATGACCTGAGCACTGTACTTAAATGCTAGAGGATTTGGCAATGAATAAAATAGACACAATCTCTGCCCACCTGGAGCTTATATTCTCCAACACTTGCAAACTCAAATGGGGTTTCTAGTAGTTTACTCTAAGAAATTTTTAAAAAATTCTAGTACCAAGAATCTGAATAACCCCAAGTTCATTTTAGTGTGATTTTATTTGAAAAATTATTGCCAAATATTGGGCAGTCATAGGAAATAAAAAGAATGTAGCCCATACTGGTGACCAGTCATGGGCAAGGATAATCCTGTTGGTAAACCTCTCGTTTCATGGGATATGCATGTTGTTTGAAGCCATGTCAGCTTTTGCATATTCTTTTGTACATTCTTAATTACTTACTTCTCTCTCTCTCTGTCTCTCTCTCTTTTTTTTAGTGGAATTCAGTGAGAGCTGTGAGTCGGTGTCGAAGCAGGAGTTTAAGTCCCATTTGCCCCCGTAACCGCATTGGTTTAAGCACGGTACTTATCTGTCTAATCATTTTTACACAAAATGCCTACAGCCCACGTTTTCTTTGCTTCAACAGTCTCTTTGGTGATTATAAGTCTCTCATAGGTATAAGAGAACTTGCTGCAATATCACTAACCCTAAAGTGATTTTTATACTACTGTGGGCTAAGGAGTTTTACCATTCTGGAGTGAAGGAAGAGGAGGGTGGGTTGTGTTTTTTTTTTTTTTTGGTATTTTTAATTAGTTCAAGCAATAATAGACTTTCCTTACTTAGTAGTTTTATTATCTCTGATATTAGCCATTAGATATCAGATAGCTTTCTGAAAAGAGAAGGAGATGCCTTGGTCAACTGATCTGGTCACAGGTCCCTGGTTCCTCTCACAATTACTGTGTGAGTTTGGGGAAATGGTTCATTTCCAAACCAAATCCAAATGGATCTGGATTTCATTACTTTATTGAACATATTTATTTGTCCCCAATTTCATAGTAGGAAAAATTAGTTTCTTTGTGTATTGGTTCTTGGAAGAATTACTAACACTTTCATCAAGATAAAAAAAAAAAAAAAACAGAAAAACATCTCTGAAAATTTTGAAGATAGCATCCCTAGAAACATTATTACAACTCACCACTGTCCATTTATTCAACAAATAATATTTAGTCAAGACTGGAGCAAGACATGTATATGTCAGAGAGGCAAACAATCACCTATTCCTTCAAACAGCATTTGTTTACATGTATGTTCAGCCTTGTTTTAGAAGAGAGCGGAGGAGCAGAACCACACTTGATAATATTAGATGTCTCTGAAGTGTTCTTTAACATAGCAGGTGCAGCCCCAAAGGGGCGAGATCTCCTTGGCAACAAAACAAAACAAAACACAGCTAACAAGAGTCACCTTTCTCTTTTTAAAATTATTTTGTAAAAATTTTAATTTGTTATATATGACAGCAGAATGCATTACAATTCATATTTTACATATAGAGCACAATATCTCTGGTTGTACACAAAGTAGAGTCACATCTTCATATCTTCATACATGTACTTAGTGTAATGATGACCATCACATTTCACTGTCTTTCCTACCCCCATCCTCCCTCCCATCCCCCTCCTCTTTTCCCGTTTGCCCTATCTAGAGTTCATCTAATCCTCCCATCCCCCCTGCAGCATATTATGGATCAGCATTCTTAAATCAGAGAAATCATTCATCATTTGGTTTTTGGGGATTGGCTAATTTCACTTAGCATTATATTCTCCAGCTCCATCCACTTACCTGCAAATGACATGATTTTATTCTCTTATTGATGAATAGTATTCCATTGTGTATATATACCACATTTTCTTTATCCATTCATCTACTGAAGGGCATCTAGATTGCTTCCACAGTTTAGCTATTGTGAATTGTGTGGCTATAAACATCGATGTGGCTGTGTTCCTGTAGTATGCTGTTTTTAAGTCCTTTGGTATAGACCAAGGAGTGGGATAGCTGGGTCAAATGGTGGTTCCATTCCCAGTGTTCCAAGGAATCTCCATACTGCTTTCCATATTGGCTGCACCAATTTGCAGTCCCATCAGCAACATAAGGTTGTGCCTTTTCCCCCATATCCGCGCCAACACTTATTGTTGTTTGTCTTCATGATAGCTGCCATTCTGACTGGAGTGAGATGAAATCTTAGAGTAGTTTTGATTTGCATTTCTCTAATTGCTAGTGATGATATTGAAATTAAATTTACTGAAATTAAAGATGAGATTTTAAAGGCAGGGTTTTGGAGACATGAGATGACTTATTGAGGCTATGTAGTAGACAATTATATCATTATTTTAGATTTCATTGATTATTATAATTATTATTTTCTGAAAAGCATTAATTTCAATATGGCCATTGAACCCAGTTTGTAACATTTTTTCATATATTTGTTGGTTGTTTGTATATCCTTTTCTGAGAAGTGTCTGTTCAGTTCCTTGGCGCATTTATTGATTGGGTTATTTGTTTTGTTGGTGTTAAGATTTTTGAGTTCTTTATATATTCTAGAGATTAGTGCTCTATCTGATGTGCATATGTAAGAATTTGTTCCCAATTGGTAGGCTTTCCATTCACCTCACTGATGATTTCTTTTGCTGAGAAGAAGCTTTTTAGTTTGAATCCATCCATTTATTGATTCTTGATATTAATTCTTGAGATATACAGGAGTCTTATTAAGGAAGTTGGGGCCTAATACAACATGATGGAGAGTTGGGTCTACTTTTTCTTCTAATAGATACAGTATCTCTGGTTTAATTCCTAGGTCTTTGATCCACTTTGATTTGAGTTTAGTGCATAGTGAGAGATAGGGGTTTAATTTCATTTTGTTGCATGTGGATTTCTAATTTTCCCAGCACCACAAGTTGAAGAGGCTATATTTTCTCTAATGTACATTTTTGGCACCTTTGTCAAATATAAGATAACTGTAATTATGTGGATTGGTCTCTTGTGTCCTCTATTCTGTACTATTGGTCTACAAGTGTATCTTGATGCCAATACTATGCTGTTTTTGTTACTATTGCTCTGTAGTTTAGTTTTTAAAAAAAATTTTTTTTTTAGTTGTAGATGGACACAATACCTTTATTTTATTTATTTATTTTTATGTGGTGCTGAGGATTGAACCCAGTGTCTCACATGTGCTAGACAAGCGTTCTTCCACTGAACCACAATCCAGCCCAGACTTACCTTTCTTGAGGAGTTTAGCAAGCATTTTGTTTCTGCAGTTGGCTCCTTCTCAAACATTCCTTCTGTAACTGATAGATGTCAGATTTTGGAGGGACACAAAAACAACTAAGCATGATTAGTCTTTCCCTGAAAGGACCCCCATATAGGAAGATCAATATAATTTAAACAAATTAACTGAATGTAATCCAGTCTATAAAGTGGTACAGTCTGTAAAACAAAGGCCATGATAGTAAAAAAAAAAAGAGCTCTTTTAGAATGAGTAGAATTTCAATGGGCTGAGAATTGGGGAAAATATTCAGGGGAGGAAAATGGCCTAAGAATGGTGGGGAGGTGGAAGAGGCATGCATCTGAGTCATTTTGCTCTTGAGGATTTTAATATAACTTGATTATCTGTATTTCTGATTAAGTATTTAAAAAAGGTAAAAGCAAAAAGACATGCATGTAATGGACTGATAAATAAAAGGGAAATAGTGGGAGCATTATACTGGGAGAATCATAGTCTTCCCATTCCAAGAGGAAACTGCATATTAGAGGAAAGTAATGTTAGATAAGTCTTGTGTGACAGCTGGGGCAGACTGTCACTCTGGACTCTGATTAGACATTTCATCCATGGACAGTATCCTCCGTGATGAGCCCTAGACACGTCTAAACCTTCTGTTTCTCATTTTTGCTAAAGGGAACAAAGTAATTTGAACTTTAGACAAGGGAGTTAGAATGTATTCTCAAAGGTGAAACTTCTGCCAACATTCCTTCTCTTTCCATCAGCCTCTCTACAACAAAACTGGGTATATCTGCAAAATAAAATGTAAATGTTTTTGGTTAGTCTGGCTTTTTGGCTTATTTGAGGTCTCCAGAATAGACTCTATCTACCTTAGCAATCTATTTATTTAAAGTGTTGGACAACTCAGGGCAGGAATGATGCTTGCAGGCAGCGTCAGCTGAGAGTAACAGTGGTAGCTTCTGCTTATTGAAATTAAAGATGAGATTTTAAAGGCAGGGTTTTGGAGACATGAGATGACTTATTAAGGCTATGTAATAGACGATTATATCATTATTTTAGATTTCATTGATTATTATAATTATTATTTTCTGAAAAGCATTAATTTCAATATGGCCATTGAACCCAGTTTATAATTAATACTATAATTTAAACCAAATTGAGTGCCCATTTAGTTAAAAAAACATAAAAGGACTCACAGTGGTCAGCCTCAGGGGAGAAATCATAGTTCTAAAGGGCCTTGGAGCAACTAATTAGATAGTTTTAGGGGGAAAAAAAGAACACGTCAAAATGGTTCATCCTTTGAGCTCTGTCTACTGTGTGTTTCACATTACACTTTGTCTTATTTTTCAGATATCTCGAAGTCGGAGTCCTTCTCCAATAAGATGTACATTGCCAAGTAAGCAGGATAGTTAAGACGGATTGAGTTTTCTGCTTTTGAATACTCTTCCTAGTATTCAGCATTGTGCAGCACCATGAGTGTTTGGCTCCTTAGAGAATATCCTTTCCCTTCCTATCATCCATTTCTGGGTCGTCTCACGGATGGGACCCATGCCGGAAGAGCCTCTAGTTGAGAGGTTTAATTGCTGTAAACCTAGATCAATCACCCCTTTTACGTTTATATACTTCCAAAAGAAAACTCTAAGGAACTGGCCATAGTGATGAACTGTTTGTTTTTCTCCACAGGGTTTTAAAACCACCACGGGTGGTCCTATGCCACTGCATGTAGTGCATCATTGCAGCCACCTTTCCCCTGGGCCTCCTGCTGCCTGCCTTGTCCGCCTCCGACTTCAATTAGCATGATGTGAACTGGCATTCTGTGTATCCTTCTACACACAGAGTTAAATGTTTTGGCTTAGCGCATCTGTAATTTTAGATATATTGCATTTTATTTTATTTTATAGATACAAATTCCATTAATTTCATAAAAAAACGATTGCATAGGCATTTAGGATCATATTCATTTGAAGCAAAGTCCATTACAAAGATTCAGGATTTCCATCTTGAAATACTAGGTTCTTTTATAGCAACTATATGAACAAGAGTGCAAAGTCTTTAACATGCTGAATCCAAAAGAAAGGGCATTTTAGCTTATAGGTTGATCATACATGTTATAATTGTTAGTATCAGCTTTTAACCTGAAAAAAAATGGGTGCTCTAATTGCATTTTAAGGTTTGGAAGACAACACCAATCATATTAGTAGCAGTGATGTAAGACTAAGTGTAACCTGTAATAATTTAAAAGTATGTCACTTTGTTGGCTTGCTTTTCTGTTTTTGCTTTGAGAGTTACCCATTTTGGCTTTGTGGAGTACCAAATGTGGAAGTCACTTAGTTGAGAAGTTTCTTGCTTCATAAACACAGAGCAGTAATTTGATTAGATGCGGCTTTGAGATAAATGTTGATCACCTTGCATTATCTACTTAGAAATGTCTTAAACAGTTTAAATGCACAGGTTAAATATACAAGTTACCTATGGTACCTGTTCTTTACCTATTCTTCCTCCTATAAACTCCAACTGACTAAAAATACTAGAACTTAAGAAGTAAAACTCAGGGCATCATTTGTCTATTTTAAATTGAGCTTTTCTCGCTTGACTTGTTTACTGTGAAGTACTCTTGAAAGTTCACATTCAAGATAATAAGGAACTGTGATTTCTCTAGAAGCATGATGTTCTTTCTGCCCTGCCTCCTCTTCTCAATCCATCCTTACACCTGAGCCCTTACCATTGACTGCTGTTTCCATACGCCTTTTAGAGAGAAATTTTGAATTGGACACATCTTAGTTTGCTGAAGTTCAGTACCTGATGCTTTTCAGATGGGCAGAACAAAAAACTTCTCTAGAGCATCTTGCCCCTGTCCTGGGGGTGGGAGGACTTCCTTAGTCTCTTTTCTTTGAATCCAATGGCCACTGATCTCTCTGAGGTGTGAATTTAATTTTCTCTCTTTGTGCATTTATGGCATCACCTTTTTGAGATCTCGTGGTGTGTTGGAAGGAGCACTAGGTGTCCCCTAGGTAGCTCCTAGAATCCCTCTGGTCATTAGCTTGCTTTGTGGGCTTGAGCAAGTTATATCATCTCTCTGAACCTCAGTTTCATTGTAGAGTGAGAGTGCTGGATGAAATTAGTGCTTCTTTTAACCCTGTCAGGCTTAATCTCTCTTTTATAGCAAATATTTTATTCTGGATATCCTGAGATGAAAGCCAAAGTTAATATAATCTATGTACACATAGAATTTTAACAATGGATATAGTACCCCAAACTGTAAAATAAAACAGAGGGAAAGCAAAGCAAATTTAATAAAATGTATTTAAAAATTTAAAAAGAATGGGTATAGTTACCCTAGAAGATAAGGTGTTCGATGCTTTTATGCAATACCTGCCTGTGGAATCACTAGCTACAGCTGCAGATTGATGTGTGTTGTGTCGGCAACAGAAGATGTTAGTGTTGTCATTAGATACAACTTTCTGAAGTGGGAAGGGTCATATTAAAAGGGTACAATTAGTTGGCTTGCTTGGTAATGTTTTGAACAACAACAACAAAATAGTCTTGCTTGACTTATACAGCAAATTGCACTCCTGGACAATTTATTGTATATTAAAACCATGCAATTAGTTACTTTGTGTTATGTGTTGAAAGATTTTTTTCTGAAGTGTAAGCAATGAGAATGCCTATGTGCCATAATTTCTTTTCAGGAGACAGATGTATACTCTAATTTGGAAAAAGGTCACACAGCTCAATTATTTGCTTTTGGTCCAGTCTGGCCACTTGCCATTTCTCAAGTTTCTGATTTGAACTCTAACTATAGAGGGAAAGTGGAATAGTCTAGAATTGTTTTTGGAAAGAATCTGTGAAACCAAAGGAAGCTGATCTGGACTTATTTCATCTGGGTATGTGACTTAACTTAGAAACACTGAAAATGAAAAAAAAAAACTTGTTTTTTTTTTTTACCCTGGGTAAATGTTAGTTTCTATATTATTGGTTTAACATGTAATAATAAAATCAATAAAAATGCTTTTTGTATTTGTCAGTTCTTTGCAATGAAGCGCTCTCCTCTCAGGTTGCAGGTTAGTGATGTCCTTTACCATCTCTAATCTGTGAGATCTTGTTTTAGTCAGCTTTTTTGCTGCTATGACTAAAAAGACCCAACCAGAACAATTGTAGAGGAGAAAAAATTTATTTGGGGGCTCAAGGTTTCAAAGATCTCAGTTCCACAGACAGCAGGCTCCATTCCTCAGGGCTTGAGGTGAGGCAGAACATCATGGCAGAAGAGTGTGACAGAAGGAAGCAGCTCACACGATGTCCAGAAAGCAGAGAGAGAGAGAGAGAGAGAGAGAGAGAGAGAGAGAGAGAGAGAGA